AAAAAATCTCACCATATTACCTCTGATGAAATTCTAAGCAACTTTTGTTCTCTTCACTTTTTGTCTAATCTTGACCCAATTTGAGAAAAGCATGTTTGAAAAATCAAGTTTTGATCAATTTGTCCGGATTATTTAAATCAGCACTGTAATTCTTCATAACACGTTTTTTTTATTTATTAATTTTTTAAATATGATTAGTTTTTCAACCATTACTATCGATTTTCTAATGCTGATGGAAAGGGACAAGTAAACAGGGGCGTCCACCTCACCAACCAAATGTTCCCCTCTGGTATTATTTTATATCATTTTTAGGCCGACCAACTTTAAATTTTTTCTGAAACCAAGATGAACTAACTTGGAAAGGGAGTGCGTGCCAAAAAAGTACAATTTTTTGGTCAAAATTTTCCAAAAAGTACCCAAAAACGGCATACTCGGCCTCTTTTTCATTTTAATTTTTACTTCTAGCTGTTTTCAACTTAGTTCCTTCTAAATTCTTTCTTAAAAACTTAGTTTCTTTTTTAGTTTCTCAATTTTTGTGACTTTTTGCTACACTAATTTAATCAATCTACTGCCCTCCTTAAACCCCATTTTATGTTAAGCTTCCTTTTAGACCATGGGGCGTTGGTTACTGAACGCAATGCCCAAACATTTTGATCCGACACCCCCAGTTTAGCCCCAAGGTTGTGTGTGTGTGTGGGGTGGGGGTTCGAAGGAAGAGGGGCGTGAAAAAAGGATCCGATGTCGATCGTTGAGGGGGATTGTACACAGATATGAACGAAATTGTTCGTGTTCTAAGTTTGCCGATTGCTGCGGAAAGTAGAAAATAAACATTTATATTTGGCAAAAAATTTGACTCTCATGGAGTTTGTGAACAAAAAATAACCGATTATATTGAAACCAAAATAGGATTATGATCGATTATAAAGGTTAATGTTCGACTTCGATTGCTGAAATTATTCGATTTTATTCCACTAAAAATATATTTTCATGGTTAGATAGGTCATGAAAACCGATTATATCGGTTAAGATTTGTTGCCGATATCATCCATTAGAATCGATTATTTTCCATGAAACTGTAGTGCGGGTACCTAAGCACTACGCTAGAATAATATCTGTCTAATTTTGTCGCAGATCTCGCCACCTGGTATGAATGATCAGGTTTGATTCATCTGCATATCAAATAAGCACATATGACTCTACCTTGCAAGGTTTAGTTGACTACATTTGCACTAAACAAACGCCTTTGCATTGCATAAAAACGTGTTAACAAACGCATTTTTAAACTCGTTTGAATAAATTGAAGCATCAGCGCAATGCTCAATTGATTTTTCCGTCAAAGTTGGTTTTGGTCCTACTTTTTTTCTGCTTAAATGTTCAAAAAAATTTCATATTCAGCACTATTACTTTACAGCATACATTGCCTAGAAATTTACGAAGTTGGAGATAATTTTACAGAATTAAGAAAACATTTTTCCGTCAATTTCCAATATGAATAGTTATAATTCCATCTTTGAAATCATTTTTTCAGACTTGGTTTAACCTTTATAGTTCAATTAACGTGCTATCAATATTCGGAATTTTTCTACTTGAGTCAATCGAATGTCTTTCGGTTAGTTGTTAGCCATTAATGGCCGGCCCAAACCGAACCAAGATCTAGATCAGATGAGGAAAAACTCTATAGAAAGGATCAAAACCGCGGAACTGTTTTTAGATTTTATTCAATTTTGAAGAACTGTTGTGAAGTATCTTTAAGTAACTCAATGCGATATTTCATTCATAATTTTTTTCACGAAACCTTGAACGTATTTTCATAGATACTGTGAACGCAGGGGATCAGATCGGTTCCTATTAAAGCAGATTTGGTAGATGGGTGACTCAAGTGACTCAAAAAATATGGTATAGGGGAAGCCATGTCTGACCCGGTCTGCTGGCAGACGTGAGTCACGTCTATTCAGATCTGGCCGTAAGAATTTGCTGGTGCAGAGCTGCATCAGATCTGCACTGATTCAAATAAGACAAGTTCGGGGTCTGAGGCAGATTTGAGTAACAAACATTTTTACCCCGATCAGACTTGCTTTTTACAAGTGAGCTCAGTTTCGGCGATATAAAGAAAAAGAAGGAATATTGGTGCTCTCGTTGTTCTGACCATTGAAAATGGGGAGGAACTTGGTATTCGGGCGTGTTTTGATTTTGTCTTCTTTTTTGTTTCCCATGCAAAACCAGGTACCACAAATCATCATCAAAAAGCAACGAGTGCACTTCAAATTAAAACCCATTCAGTTGTGATTTCAACGAAAATAATAAGTTGCCAAAAAATGTCAGTGCTGAGAAAAACACGTTTGGAAACATTGATTTTTGGTCTAATTTCGAGCAAAAAAAACGAGCGACCATGCTCAAAATAGCATTTTCATGCTCAATTTGGTCGTCAAAACTTAGTTTTACTTGCGTGAAGTTAGTTTTGGGTGTTTGCGCAATTTTGCTTTTCAGAAACTTTCAAAAATTTTTGTTCAAAGTTCAAAAAATGTCTGCTAAAAAATCGAAAAAAAAAAACAATTGGATTCTTTGTTGATTTTTTTGTACAATTTTTTTTCGTTTTACAGAAATCGCCTGCTTTATAATGACACTTATGCGTTATTATAGCCAAACCAACCTTTCTTTCTTGCCGCTCAAACTCTGATTCAATAGCTTTTCACGGCAAAAAAAAATGTTTAAAATTTTGAAACCTTTTCGATACAGTTTTTTCTATTTTTATATTCACTACGATAGGAACAATGTGTTATACTTTAAATGGAGTTTTTGGTGGATGAATTCTAATAAAAAAAAATCTAAATTTTTGCTCTTTTTTGGAAGTTTTATCTTTTTTTTTACAAAATCACTAGAAAAAATTAAAACCTGTTTCCTAGACGTCATAGGTCAGTCAGTACATTCAAGTTCCGCTCTAATAAATGCATTCTGTTTGTATTTAGATTTGAGATGGAAGCCCTGTGTTTTATTTTTGATCTTTGAAATTTTTGAAGTTTTGAAAAAATAGATTTTTAAATAATGTCTCAACTAAGGGATTCCACCCCTTGCCGACCCAAAGGGTGTTCCGCCCTTGTACTATTTTGAGATATCCATTTTTGGCTGACAGAACTTAAAAACTTTCTAAAAGAGCCTTTAACGCCTATATTTAATAGTTTTGAGGTGAAAGCGCGCGCCAAAAATTCACAATTTTTTGGCCAAAATTTCCGAAAAAATCCTAAAAACGCCTTTTTTGGACTGTTTGTTTTTCAAAAACTTTTGATTTTCTCATTTTATCAAAAAAAGGTCTTTCTAGTGATTTGAAAATCAATTGGATCGACCTAAAACAAAAAAAAAGTTGACAAAATTTCCCGCCTTCGAGAAAAACCAACATCCACCCCCTGCCTAGTAGTAAAACCTAATTTCACTTTTGGCAGTTTTTGAGTCAACTCGTGTTTTTAAGCTGCAGTTTGAGGAAAAACCTTTTTTAGGCTTCAAAATTTGCAAACAAATTATCAAGATATATCGGCACCAAAATGTTTTATAGCGTGCCGAGATTGATGTTTCAATCCAATATATATGAGTCAGGGGGACTGATTACTTTCGAGTATTTAGAAAAAATGTTACAGCGGCTAATTTGTTTTGCTGCAAATTCTAAATTTTTGCTCCTAACTCAGTAGCCCCTTTGCCTGTCGAATATTTTCAGGTCCATTCCAGTATTACAGAAATACTTTAAAATGAACAGGTGCGGATCTAGGAATTTCTCGAAGAGAGGGGGCGGATTTTCAAAAAAAAATTTTTTAGGTCGACCAATTTGATTTACTGAGCTCTCCCAATCACCCTTAAGACCCTATACCGACCAAATTTTCTGCGCTGCAGGCAATTTTTTTTCAAAAAATAGGCCAAAAAACGTTTTGCGCGCACTCCCCCCTCAAAATTAGCATATATCGGCGCCCAAGGCGCCTTTAGAAAAATTTAAAGGTCAGTCGTCCAAAAAATGATATCTCAAAATAGTACAAAAGGGGGACCCTTTGGGTCGGCAGGGGGTCGAATCCCTGAGGTGGGGGTGTCCGACCGCCCCCTAAATCCACTACTGAAAACGAATCTAAAAATATATAACTAGATATGGGCAATTACACCTCACCAATGTTCAACGATAGAACAAGATTCAATCCTCATCACATTTTATAAATTAGGAAATAGTTGAAACAATGCCTACAACAACACAACAAAGCATTTCTCCTATTCATCTTACACTTACACACTAAAGAATGATAATATAAAAAAAACTCCATTCCCACAGGCAGCTATTCAATCAACAGTAACACCATCCGCTGCCAGAAATATTCACAAATGGATTACCAAACATATAGACCATTAACTAATACACGACAATCAAACAAGCAAAAGCCTCCAAATAGAAAAAGTTTTTCAAACCACAGTTACGATTTTTTTTTGCGAAAAAATTATAAACAGACCAATAAAAAAACCCCCCACGCCATCAAAATCAATCACAAGAACAATTTTACAACCAACAGATACTTTTTAAAAGTATATTAAAACTTTTAATGTTCCTGGTTTTAATGTAATTTTGGGGACGCACGAATAAAATGGATCTATAAATACTTCCAAGTTGAAAACCCCGTGCGAGTTGAGTTGTGAGTGAGCTCATATCGCGATTACAATTGTCGTCCTTAGAGTATTTTGTGGCCCAATTTACATGTTCGCGCTCGAAGTTTGAAGGCCTGAAAACTGCAAGACAACGTCTCCTAATACGAGCATTTGTTTCTAGAGGTCGCACAAAACACCGCCACATTAGTGAAAAATTGTAACAAAAAAGACTCAACATAATTTTCATTTTTTATTCAAAGTTTTGATACTTATGTTCTGTTCTGATAATCAAACGTTAATTAACGTAGTTGGGTCGCATAATAACTGCGTTTTAAAATGTTGATTTCGTTAAACTTTTACGCAAATCAGATAAAATAAAACAAATTTACCCGTTCGAAATTGCCAAATCAACAGATAGAAGATGAATTAAACAGAAAGAGAGTAAAGTCTTCCTTTTCATCGTTTTATTGTTCTTCTGTTCAACAGCTCCTTGCAAGTCGTATTTATAAAATTAGCATTTAAGACCAAAATTCGACAAAAAATTAGTCTTGAATCCGACAAAAAATTAGTCTTGAAAAGCAGATCAAGACTATACTTTGACCAAAGCAGTTAAACGGATAAAATTCGAACAAATAGGCGGGGTAAAAAGTTTAATCAGAGCTGTTAATGAAATCAAACTTTATGAAAAGTTGGTCTATATAACTTCTATAAGCTTTCTAAGCAAATTCGGGATTATTATTTCCGGGCAAATATTGAATTATTTCCACTATAATTTGAAACAAGGAAAAGGCAGTTTCGGTTCGCTTTTAAAGCGCAACGTGACTTGTAAAGGTTGATTGAGAAAGTGATATTGGAGTTGTGATCAATAAATCATGCAAGCTGTCTGGAATATGCTGTGGCTAATTTATGGCCAACTGAAGGAAACAAACAAGACTTATCCGGTCATAAATTTTCATAAGTGCCTCATGTTCGAAGATATCATATTCTGTCTGTTGAGTAAAGATAAAAAAACTGCGGGGATGGTCCTGAAATTCAATGAACTTACAGCCCTCATAAAACACCTTTTTAATACAGGTACAAAGCGCGCTTCAAAATCCCCACAATCGGAAATTTCGACAGGAATAAAAAACTTGTCTATTACTTGCCAATTTTAACAATACAAGAATAACAATAAATAAACAAGAGTAAAAGAAAAAATGGTAGAAGAATTATTTCAGAAATGGTAAACTCTCATTGGTTGAAATCTTTTCATTGCGGGTATATAATTATATGGTCGTGCTAGTACTCTATCTATTGAATAATTGATAATCTTACAGTTTTTCCGTTTTTATCATAATGAGAAAAACACGGAAACATTTTCACATAACAGAACTGCAATCTTCAATTTGAAGCGTGCTCACTTTTTTTGTTCGCAGTACCATTTTTTCTCTGTGTGATAAAAAAATAAAAAAGTCTTTGTCGGATTGTAGTGAAAACTAATTTATCTGGAACGCGATAATGCCCCCCGATGAAAACTGGAAGTAATAAAAAAAAGGTTGAAAGGAAACGAGTTCTCCAAAATGTCTTTTTTCAAATTTAATTAGGACATCCCTCTCAGTCGTATTTTAATCAGGGCGACTTCTGTAGCTTCAGTTATTACTAGTCAGTTTATTACTCGCGGCTATTTAGATTTCATGAGCTGTCGAGGCGAAGAGGCTGTTTGATTCGATTGCTATCAGTTGCCTGAAAATAGTGTTGAGAAACACCATTTTGTACCAAATTCACTAACAAATTGAAGAAAAAAAAGAGAGAAAAAGATTGTTTAACAAAATCATGTTTATTAAATAGGCAAAACACAATGAGCAATTAGCGAAAAAAGAAAAAAAATTGCTATTCAATCACAAAATTTCGTATCTTAAATTTCAATAAAATGTTTTCTACACACATTTGCCTAATAAAAAATGTATGACTAGAAACTTTTAAAAAACAACAAAAAGCTCTTCAAAAATAAGCTCAAAAAAAACAATATTTGTTCAAATTTTTCTAGGCAGGTCAAATTGATTTTCCAAGCTATCCCAAAATACTACTAAAGACCCTATAAATGCGCTACTGAAATTTTTTTTGACAGCAAACAGGCTGAACTTAACTAGTAACAGCGTTTTATTATGAAAAAAATAGCATCAGGTTGCAATTCAATGTGTCGCCTCATTGTTTCTGGAAAACCGTTAGGTTTTATCAAAGAGTTAAATGAAAACTTTTCTTTGATTTCTGTACCCCCTTTCTTCCTACAAGTATTGAAAGATATTTATGGCAGCATGTAGGAAAGTTTTTTAGCGACTCTCATTTGAGCAAAAACCAATATGTAGCGCTGAAAAGCTTGCACTAATTTCAAACTATTTATTATTTTTTTGTATAACTTCATTGCATTATTTCAATATTTTCAATATTTTGCTTGTTTCAATATCTTCAATGTGATGCGAAAAGTTCCTTTAAAAAATAGGATTTTGTTAATTGATTAAAATAAAATTTTTAGTTTGATGCTTAACATACATTCTGCTCACTTTCTTCGAAAGCTGGAATGCATATTAACAAGCTAAGATGAAACGTTTTTGTGATTGGTATCCCACACAAAATAGGCTAGGAGAAAAAAATCAGTTAAGAACAAACAAAGCAATTAGCGAAAAAAAAAATTGCTATTCAATCACAAAATTTCGTATCTTAAATTTCAATAAAAACTTTTCTACACACATTTGCCTAATAAAAAATGTATGACTAGAAACTTTTAAAATCAACAAAAAGCTCTTCAAAAATAAGCTCAAGTTAAAAACAATATTTGTTCAAAATTTTCTAGGTAGGTCAAATTGATTTTCCAAGCTATCCCAAAATACTATTAAAGACCCTTTACAAGCGCCGCTGAACTTCGTTTTAATTACAAACAGGCTGACAAAGCTATTTTGGGCTTTTTCAGAAAACTTGATCAAAAAATTGTGAAACGTTTTTTCCGCACGCATTTCTTCCTAAAAATTGATATAAATTTGTGCCAAGGAATCTATAGAATGGTTTTTGTAGTCAGACGAAAAAAAATTGAAAATCGTGAAATAATGGTAAACAGGGAGCCAGTAAGATGGTGAGGCGGTCGAAGCTTCGATTAATTCAAAGAAACCTCACTCCGATTTTTTTCGTTTCAAGTTTTTATTGGTGATTTTGGCTTAAGTTTTTGCTCAAAACATGGAGCAAACTCTTAAACAGTTGTAAGTTTACTGAGAAAAAATGCTCTTGAGTTTCCAAGACTTGAAATATCATGAACTCTGGAATCAATGGGTTTAGTAAAGGAGGCGAATTGAACGACCCAGAATTCAGTTCAAAATGGGCATTGGCCGACTAATTGGTCAAAAATTTTACCTGATGCTCTTGCATGTTAGGATAAAACTGGGTGAAACATGAGATTAATGAAGCAATCTTCCCACCCCTCCCCCATTTTCCCGCGTCAGTAAAAAATTCGCAAAAAAAATATCTTTTCTCAATTTTTTTATCTGAAGGCTTTGAAATTTTGGATCGTTCAAATGATTGCTTGCTATGAACACATCGACCATCTGCTTGCATTTAACATGTCTTTTGAAGCGTTTCGCCGATTTTGTTCTGGGGGGATAGCTCAATTGGTCATTATGGGAGCGAGGGAAAAAATTGCGCACTTGATACAAAAAGAAGAAGCATAAATTACTTTTATTTTTTCAATAAAGTTTAGGTTTTAAAAAAATTCATTCAGAATAGTGTGAAATTTGTGTTTTAAAACGAAAAGTTTTCTTGCTTTATACTTTCAGAAAGCACTAACATTGAGTTGCAAACATCTGCTTCGAGCTTAAATAGAAAATGCGTTTCAAAAATATATTTGAAAAAATACTAGCATCAGGTTTCTATTCGAAATGTCGCGTTATTGTTTCTGGAAAACCGTTAGGTTATATCAAAGAGTTAAATGAGAACCTTTCTTTGATTTCCCCCCTCTTTCTCTCTTTCTCTCTCTCTCTCTCTCTCTCTCTCTCTCTCTTCCTACTAGTATTGAATGATATTGATGGCATCAAGTAGGAAATTTATGTAACGACTCTTATTTGAGCAAAAACCAATTTGCAGCGCTGGAAAGTTTGCATTATTTTCAAACTATTTATTATTTTTTGCATAATCTCATTGCACATTTCAATGTTCTCAAAATTTCGTTTAATTCAATATCTTCAATGTGATGCCAAAAGTTTCTTCAAAAAAGTAGGATTTTGTTCATGGATATTAATTGAAATAAGATAATGAAAAACGATGAAAAAACTTGCCGAGTTTTTTCAGTTTGATGGTTTATGATGCATTCTGCTAACTTTCTTCAAAAGCTGGAATGCGTTTTAACAAGCTAAGATAAAAAAATTTTGTGATTGGTATCCAACACGAACGAGCCTACAAGAATTTCAGTTAAGGGAGCTGATTGACAGCTTTCAATTGTATTACTGGTTATCCACATACAGTTGCGGATTAAGTAGCTTTTTTTGGTTTCAACCGACCAATTGAACAAAATACTTCATCCGGTTTGTTCTTTTTGTTTTTTTTCCTGTCTAAAAAATTGTTTTACTGGTGTGGAACTTTGTCACCGAATTGATGAAACTGTTTAAAAGAAACTGTTTGAATCTGGAATTTTCGAAAAAAAAAATTTTATAGGCGATTTTTCAGTATTCAACTAAAAGTTATAAAAAAAGATATTTTTGCCGTTGAAACATCCTCAAGAACCTCACGAGGGGTTTAAGAATACTAAAACCGATTACTAAAATCCAATCAGCAATAAAAAACTGTATCATTGTTGCTCCCGTAGGTGTATGGCTATTTAAGCTGCTGAAATCATTGCAAACATCATATATGTCCGAACATCATAAATTAGTCACGATGCTTCATTAGATAGAAATTAGAGTCTAGATAATATGAATGCCATGAGAAAATGAAATTTAGAATTACTTCACTTGCAAACATTTTGTCACTTGCAAACATTTTTAAGTTACGAGAATTGAAGAAACGCAAATTAAAGCTTTATTTATTTTTTACTTAGGCGAAGCGCAAGTGGCGGTATGGATTGGCAAATAAACCATTACACTTTGAACTGAGGTACCCCAAGTTGTTCAAACACCGTTTACTCGGTTAAAAAAGAATTTGTACCCATTTTGATTCAGATAAAAATTTATCGAAAAAATATTAAAAGTTTAATGCCTATAACTATTCTGTTTTAAATTTAAATAGCAACTTCTTGCTCCTTTTGCTGTCCTTGCTCGGCTAAAAAATATCCCTTTTCTTCACTTCAGAACAAAAAGCGCTCTTCTAAGCTTACGAATGATAATAATTGAGATTGAATTGATACCAAAGAGAACACCCCATATGAAGAACTCACTTTTGTGCATATCAGTATCAGTAAAAACATCGACAAAAAAAGTTTTACCTCTCAAAAGCTATTATGCGTGTCGTGACGAATATATCTTCCAAAACAGTCATGAATTCTTGTGTAGTTACCCTGTGTAGTTGTAAATTAGGTCGTTTTTGTTGGATTTAGCGCTGTCCTCCAGCGCCGAGACACAAGAAAAGATAACTGCGTACTTTTGCGTCCGCTTCGTCCCATCTGAATGAGTTACACAGAACTCCTTTTTCACGCGCTTTGATCACGTGGTTTTCCCAGCCCACTCTTTTTTCTTTCGTACCTCTCAGTTTTTCTTTGGGTTTCCGTTTCACCGATTATTTCGACCTCGTATACTGGTTGAGATGGCTCTACTAATTGTGGTTTTGTTCGTCGAGATTTCGAATTTCGATGCCGTCTTTTGCGAATACTGCCATTTCCAGTATTGCCGCCCATTTTGTCCACTCTAATGGGGGTTCGGCCGATGCTCGTTCCCAGAATGGGTTTATGTTTAGCGGGTTCTTCGCAAATCCTTGTGGTTGCGCCATGTCATACCGCTAAGTCCTCAAGGTATGAAGTGCTAATTCCTAAATCCGTATGGATAGATAATATTGGGCGCGAGAGAGAAAAGTTAAAACAACTAGTTAATGTTAACATTAATTCTCATTCTGAACCGTAGTTCACTTTAACCGCCGTTCTCGTCCTCACTATCAAGGTCAATCGACCAGTACACATTAACGTTACATGATATCAAAACATAAATGATGTATAAATACATAATGAGC